TATCAAAAGAAATAATTCATTTTTATTTCATTTCTGTTCCTTACAATTGCCTTGGAAAATGTTTATTTTGCTTATTCAAGCAATGAACTTTGTCATTTAGACGCATACGATATAGTAATACACTGTTATATCTTTGAATAATCAAATTACTAAATACATGTTAATATAAAAAAAGTAACTCAGAGAAAGTCTAATTGAATCAATTATTTATTTACTTCTTTACTTTTTTGTTATTAATTTTTTAAACGGAATAATACACTGTTATATCTTTGAATAATCAAATTGCTAAATACATGTTAATATAGAAAAAGTAACTTAGAGAAAGTCTAATTGAATCAATTATTTATTTACTTCTTTACTTTTTTGTTATTAATTTCTTAAACGGAATAATACACTGTTATATCTTTGAATAATCAAATCGCTAAATATATGTTAATATAAAAAAAGTAACACAGAGAAAGTCTAATTGAATCAATTATTTATTTACTTCTTTTCTGTGAAGTCATAAGTGTTCAAACATTCATGGAGGATAGCGTACGTGCGAATTCTACTTAATAGAAGCACATCGCAAGCATTATTCCTGATATATTCATAAATATACCTTTGATGACATACACATAGAATGTAGAACATAAATGCAATTTCTTGGGACTGTTTATTAAAAAGAATTTACGAGTCGGGTGGCTTTCGCGAAGCTGGATCTCCAGACTTAACGTCATTATATTTTTTTTTATGGGGTCACATAAAACAGGAAGTAATGGCTGCCGTATCTTCCACGAAAGAAAACATAAACATAAGAATTCGTGATGTCTTCACTGCTCTGTATTTCACTGATCCATTTTCGTCGGAAATTCATGAGATCCGAACTCTAGTTATGACTAATCTACGGCCCGTTAAACATTTCTAAGATTTCGGAATTTCTAAAATACAAGTAAACTTTTACTTTATTAAAAATCAACGCTATGTTTCTTCTATTCTTTCTATTTAATTACTTTAGCAAACACAAAATTTCATGAAAAAATTTGAAGATATGAATTTGAACATTATAAAATGTAGGGATCACAAGTGATTTTAATGTTTTTTTATTTCGTGGATCAGATCGATGTTTTCGACGGATAAAAATAAAATTGATTAAATTCAAAGATATAATTTCTTACATTTTCGAACTACTTTCTAACAAATGAGCAGCACTTATTTGAAAAAGTTGTTTATACTTCACATTTTAATTATTAAAATGTGGCAGAATGATTTTATTTGAAGAACGGTGAAAACCACAAAAAATTATATACATATTTTTTTTTGATCCACAATAAGTAGCTAATTAACTAAAGACTTCAATTCCAGTTGGAACAGCAATAATTATGGTTGCTAAATGTAACTAAATTAGTGTTACAGTTAATAGCTTTTCCAACATTAGAAATATTAGGTGTACTAAAAGCGACAAATATGATCTTCTGAAAATAATAAGACTGCATTTATTCACACTTCATAAGATTTCAATTATAAGTGCAATATATCAAGCAAAGGATCAATTTATGTGATAATTATTTAATAATAGAACAAAACATAGCGAACCATTTAATAAAAGGGAATCGTCGGACAATTTTCAAGGAGTTCATTTATGTTGTCCAGCTTGTAGATGTTAAGGTCCGAATATTTCAATTATAACGAAGCTTAGTCGAGAATCCAAGCAACAGCCATCAATTTACCTTCCACGAGCGTTGCGGCTTTGACAAATGGAAAAATCCGAAAAGTAGTTCCACGGCTCGGCTTGGCGCGCGGCGCTTCGAGTTCGTGACGAATTACGACCTAATACGTGGCCGCACACGTACTCGGAATCGTGGGAAGGTTCCGCATGGCGGATCACGCGAAAATAATTTACTATGCGAGCGTAACCGTAATGCCCGCGGGTGGGGGGGGGGGGAGGAACATACTTCGTGGCGATTATTTGCTCGTTGTGTTTCATGGGCATGTAGCAAAATGCCGCGCGATATCATTGACCGAAAATCGGCACGATGTTTGGATCAATCGGCCGCCATTTAATTGTCGCCGCCACTTCGATCGGATTGCGAAACGACTGCATTCGAATGGAGCGCCGGAAAGTGGAAAAATAGGTTCAAGGCAAGCAGTTTCGTTTGGAAATTGCTGAAAAACTATATTGCCAATGTACTACAGTTAGTCATAAATGTCATAAATGGTCGCTTCGGGCATTAAATGAATTTCATATGAAATTTTAAATACGCAAATAAAAAGATCAGAATTTGTTTTTGATGAACGATTATTCACATTTTGGAGCTGCGTATTTTATACGTATAATTTAATAATAATAAATAATATTAAACTTGAATAATTTGTTTCCGAATTGAGTCAAATAGCTTGAATTTTTTTAAACATTGGCGGGTCTAATTTTTGATCTATTGGTTTACTATTCAAATTTCGTTGCGTTATTTGTTGACACTGAGTCAAGCTACAGACACTGAAAAGTCTTCAGATTTGTTAATTAGCAGCAACTGCGTTACTAATAGCAACGTTAATCGATTTCGATGAAATTGTCAGCATGTATGTAAATGACCGAAACCTACAAAACGCAATTAATTGCAATTTTTGAGAAAAACAGCGGATTTTTGTGTAAAATAAACATTTTCTGCATTAATTGCAATACGCAGGAGCTACAGAAATATTGAATTTCTTTCTTAATAGTTTTAGTGAGTTGTAAATGTATTGCAAGTGTTTATTGATCTATTCATTTTTGTCATAAATGCATAAAATCCACAGTCTATTAATATACTTCTCTGAATTTAAAAACCACTCCGTGTACGAAACAAATTGATTTAATTGAATTGGATACACATTTGGATTCACTTTTTAATTTACTGTTTAATTAAATTACGATTTGTACGACTTATCAGAATCAATTATAATGTACGAAATTTCGTCTGTTATACATGTGATTTCTCGAGACTAAAATTGACACTACTGTGGCAAAAAAATTGTTGAACGAATTACAAAGGAAATAAAAAATTATTCAAAGCCGACAGCTAACACAAATAACAAACTAACTTGTCCCTCTAGAAATCTTTTATGGAACTTAATAGTACGCGATGTCTAACAACATGAGCCTCAACCAACTGTACAGTTTGCAATGCTCAGGATAAACGACAATATTCATCGCCGTTTTTTTTGTATTTAGGGCATTTACGAGACTGTTTCAGAGCTGACCTTTTGAGAAACTCCGCCGACAAAACGTCATACCCTGTAAAAGAACCAAAATCGCGTTTTCGTCGACAATTCGACGAGCAATTACAATATCGACTAATAATCGCGGCAGATCCGATATACAGGGTGCTTGATTTTAATTCGTAAATGCGAATTATTGGTGAACTATCCTTCGTGTAAAAAAGGTGATTCACAAAGGAAGTGAACAGTTTCAAACACATCGTAATCTAACATATAACGCAGTTAATTTTTCCGTAGATGGACGGGCGAAAGCCGGACATTATAAAATAACATACACATTTATGACTTCGTCAAACTGTTCCGTAAAGTCATTCGATTCGAAAACAATTCAATTAGATTACTGCAAAGTGCATCTAGGTGAAAATATCTCGTGAATTCATTTTGTGACGTAAATGTGTAAAGACATATAATATTCGTTCATCCTTCAAAACAGAATAATTTTCTGAAAATTTGTTACAAATAACTTTAACTTCTTTTTACATGTTAAAGGAACTATTCCACTAGGCAGTGTCTAAACAAATTTTCACAAAAATTGCGGTTGCTTGGAATGATTGAAAAATAATTTTTAAATCGTGTTTTTTTAACTATTAGACAGCCAACTAAAAGCATCACAATGTATATAAAACACATTGTTCAAATTTTCGTTCCAGGCTCTAACAAAAGAATTAAAAACCATCGTTTTCCTTGTCATTCCAACTAATTGTAATTATTGTAAAAATTTATTTAGACACTGTTCTCATTAGACTGGTGTCCCTCTAACATCTAAAAATATTCAGGTCACTTGGTACAATTTTGAAAACTTTCCCTTTTAAAAAATGCACAAATACTTCAAGTGAGTGTCGATGGCTTAACAGAATGTTTCAACGAGCAAACATGTGCAGAAATTCGATTACACCAGACTATGATCCGTTCGAAATCAAAGCACTGTTTCTACAACGGGGACAGTTGCATCGTTAATTCGCGTTTACAGATTAAAAACGGACACTACTGAAGAATTGTAACCGGGGGAGCGCGCGCGTTTTTGTCGGTAAGATCGCACAGTCTGGCGTACGATCTTCTAACGCGAACGTTTCGACTGTGGGATGTTCTCTAACCTGCTGAAGATGTCCTTGAGTTCGTGCTCAGAAACGAACTGGCCGAGGTTCGCCACAAAGAGGGTAGAACACGGTGCATTGCTGACGGCTATGTTCGGCTGTGACGAGGGCGAACCCACCGGCGATGCCAGTGCCGGCGAGGGTAAGAAATGGGGCAGCGACGCGTGTATCGACGTCAGCGTCGTAGGATGCGGCAAAGACATAGGCGCCTGAAATAAAAAGGAAAACAATTTTTTTTTATCCTCAACAGACACCGAGAGCGAGACATTATTAACACTATTTATGCTCAGCGAGACATATTAATACTAGAGATACCCATTTCACGCGTACTTAACACTTAAATAACTATTATCGTTGGACGTACGACCCGTTCGACAATATTTATTCAACAATTACTGAAGTTATAAAGACACTTCCACCGGGAGTCGTTAATCAAATTTATTCATCTGAACACATATTAACCCTTTGCACTCGAGTGGCGGATTCTAAGCCGGCGCTAAAACTTGCTACGCTATTTTTCAAAATAATTGTAAGAAATGTAACAATTGTAACAATTGTAGATGCCAATAGGCTCAATTTTATATGCGTAAATTGCAATAAATCATCGCAGATCAGAAAATATATTTTGGATTTCGAATTGAAATAGCTTCGACTGCAAAGGATTGCAACTGCAAAGGATACAAATTGAAAAATATCTAAATAAATTCAATCTCGTAATTTTTTTATAAGACAACGCAAACGAGTCACGTTTAACGTCTGGTACGGTTAGTGTTGAAGTACGCGTGCACACGTGTAGTTGACACTAGGTTTACGATTATTGGTATTTTAAAGGTGCATTTGCAAGGAATTCATTCACTAAATTTATGTCCTATATTTGATATATTATAATATAAATACATATATTATAATAAAAATTAGCACTCTGTAAACCTAGTGTTAATATATCTATGTTTCAATCTGTGTACTTCTTTGTACACGAACACACAAATACATGGGTTGTACATTGAAATATACAGTAATTAACATATTAGAACTACCAAAATCTTTCTTATACGATTATGATTATATTATTAACAAAATACCCGGATACTAGAATTTTACGCAACATTTTTGTCATCGGTAGTTAAGTACTTAAGTAAATGCATGCAACGAATGTATGTATAGATTTCCTTTTTCTTCTATGAAATTATTGCAGTCGAAAAACTTCTGACTAGTGTAAGCATGGAAATAATGCTACGACAAGAGGTTAAAATTGTTGTGTCTTTAGAGACGTCTAAACTGTCGATCTGTATGCAAAATACAAGCTTTCTTCTCGAATTGTAAGAATGTATTTCTTCTTTTAACCAGTTGTTGCAGTCTCTTTGAAAAATGCACGAGTTAGTGCAATTATACAGTATATATGTTTGATTTTCTTCGTATTTTGTTTAAACACAACACTTCTATAAAATGGGCCGGAAGGTGGGCCGGAATTCGTAGTGTAATCGAGAAGGAAGTGATTCTACGTGAAAATATAAGAAACAAATTTGGTATAACATTTTTTCATCCGGGGCTCCGTTTTCGAGAAAATCGACTTTAAAGTTCGTTCATCTTTGTAAAGGATTTGGTTGCCGACTATATTCTTCTACCGCAGTTGCCTCCATCCGAGATGGTGTTTACAAACATTGACCGTTGCTCAGAACAAATCCGTAGTTTGGTCAGAGAGGCAAGGGGGGTATTCCGCTCGCTCCGTCTGACCTGCACGCCCGTAGTCCCCACTTTTCTATGACCTCCCGAAACCCACTTGTATCGGTAAACGAGAAGACCCACAAGCTAATCGACTCGAGGAGCAAAGGGAATCGTTCGCCCCGTTCACCCGATCGCCGCGCCTCTTGTTCAGCGTGTAACTTAGCCAATAATAAACAAAAGTTTGGAATACAAAAAAATTGTAAGAGGTTAAGTGGAGCGGGCGACCGATTTCCCTTATGCTTTGCGTAGGTTTTTTTTTAGTTTAGTCGTTTTTGTTTCATTTTCTCGTTTCCCGATAGTACTCTCAGGGTTAACGTAGGCGTAAGATATCCGTAAAATTCCTATACTCGAACAATACATTGCAAGCCTACAAACACGAGAGTAACACTGCACGAGCAAAATATAATTATTTTCACTTATACTTCATAAATATTGAACACATATTTAAGACGCGTATGATAACCGTTTAAAAATCATATGACACAATATGAATATAAAAAATATGTGTACAGCACGTTTGCTGTACACATACGCAATGAAAAGTTAACCCTTTGCAGACGAGTGGCGACTCTAAGGCGCCACTAAAAATTGTTATGTCTCTTGTTCAGAGTACGTAACTTAGCCAATAATAAAGAAAAGTCCGGAATCAAAAAAGAAAATGATTGGAAGAGACTAAGTGGATCGGGCGATCGATTTCCCTTGCCCCATGCCCCTTGCGTCATTTAGTTTATGCATACATTTTCTCGTTTTCGTTGTTAACGTTGTTCATTAACGTAGGTGTAAGATATCTGTAAAAAATTTCTATACTCGAATAATACATTGCAAGCCTGCGAACATGAGAGTAATACTGCACGAGCAAAATATGATTATTTTCACTTATACTTCATAAATATTGAACATATATTTAAGACGTGTATGATAACCGTCCAAAAAATCATATGATACAATATATTGTAAATATAAAAAATATGTGTACAGCACGTTTGCTGCACAATGCAATAAAAAGTTAATCAAGATGCTAATTAGTAATTGGTAATTAGAAATAATCATGTGCTTATCAGAAGAATCTGAAGATAATGCTTTAGGGATATGTCAACGCTCTTGCATCTTGTAATTGTTGCGTCTGTTTCACTTTGCCTCGACTGTTCTATGGCTCCTAACTCCCGTCGCGCGTCTCGCTTGCCCGTAGTCGCGTAAATAATGTACACACCCACACTCGCGTAAAGCACAGGCCGTGCGTCTGATGAAAATGAACAAACTTTAAAGTCGTTCTCCTCGAAAACTGAGCCTCGGATAAAAAAATGTTATACCAAATTTGTTTCTTATTTTTTCATGTAGAATCGCTCTCTGCTCGATTCTACGAATTCTGGCCCACTCTGTATATAACCTAAGAAAGAATATCGAAGTTTCTACATATTCTTCTTGAGATCAGTTAGCTGTTTTTATCGAGTATACTCGTCATGATGAAATAGCAATATTTTGTGTTAGGGAGAGTAGACTCGTCAAAAACAGCTAAGTGGTTAATAATCTTAATAAAGTAAGGAGAACATAGCAATATGTTCTGAAACTTTTCTAATATGTCTACACTTTTGGTTTTTGACCTATTAATGTTTATTATAAATGTATAAAATTCGGTCTAGATATGGCACTAGGTGCAAATATCGATTGCTTAGGTTCCTTATAATATGTATATCCGTTTTTATAACACCATTGAATATACACTCGCTACACCGTTTTTTAATTGTAACTAGACTGCGAATTTTATGCATTTTATGCAAAAGTTAGTAGCTGCAATTTGAAATAGTTAATAATTAACCGCCTCCCTAAAATAATTATATTATTAAATTTATTTACATTTAAAAAATTGTTGTACGAGTTACAACATTCAATTTTATATGCATAAAATACAGTAATAATAAGTTATTATTATTATTTTAATCAAAATAATATAAATCAGAAAAACTATTTTGAATTTAAAGTTAAAATAGCTTCGGAGTGCAAACAGTTCAAAGAAGTGGAGAGTACTGAAGCATTATCTTCAATCTAATGACATTACTAGTTGAAAAAGGCTCCCTTATTCGTGCAACAAATGCGATCAATTTTTATTGTGCATAAAGATCTAATTATGGCTGTATACTGCTCTAAAATTTTAATTCATACAATTGTCAATTATCAATACAAACAATTATCAATACTTTAGCTATTAGAAACCAATGTAATTGCCTTAAAATGTATTGTGTTACATTAATAAAGAGCTTTGAAATTTTCTATAAAATAAGAATTTTAAAGAAACTATTGGATTCCATTACTTGGCGTGATATGTTGGTTCGCAATTGAAATTGATATTTGCAAAATTGATTAAAATCGCTAATGGATAATGCGTTAAAATTATACGATAATTTTCCTATCACATTTCTCGATGGAAACTTTGAATAACGAAGACACGGCAAAGTCTTTCAGGCGTTATGCGCAAGAATTAGAAAACAATAATGGGCTGGAAATAATTCAGTGGTTTGCAGTTTCCTAATCTTATTATATCCGGGAAGTGGTGGCCTTAAGCTGGATTTTCGCTATTCTTTAATGCAGTAGGATGTTGCTCTCTGTTGAAATATCTTCAATGGAGCCGCTAGTGCACCGACATTGTGAATGTTACTGTGCAAAATCCATTAAGGAATATTTTCACAGCCGGTAGCATCCGACTATTTTAATTGTTAAATCAGAGTTCACATTTAAAAAAGCAACGAACTATGAAGATACTGAGGAATCTTTCACAGTATCATATTTATCATATCATATTTCAAAGTATTGCTAATATTTATATATATATATTCGCTTCATGCTATTTTAAAAAGAAAGTTGCGTAATTCGATTTATATACTTAAATGCATTTGTCTATATGTATTTATATGTATTAAATTTTTTTCATTACAAAATTATCTCGAAAATTTGGAAATATTAACATATTTAGATAAGAAACCATTGGTTTAGCAAATATAGGCCTTAATTTCAATTATTCAAGACGATTTATCTCGAATCTCAGATTATTTATATATTAGAACTCTAGTCTCCGACAATTAATTAAGATTTTCACATGTTCATTAAGGTCTATAGAGCAATAAGTTATAATCATTTGGTTTGATCTGGAAACAGTTATTCCGTCTTAAAAGGTATTCATATACTTTCGTGAATCACTGTATACAGGGTGGCCCCAAATTATTGTAGAAGAGAGAATGGAGGGGTCTCTGAGGTCATTTGAAGTAACTTTTTCCTTAGCGAAAATGGAATCCGCTGCTTTATTTATAAGTTATTAACGAAAAACAGTGACCAATGAGAGACGAGCTCGGCTGGCGCTAGGCGGCTCAGCGTAGCCAATCAGCGAAACTGAGCTTCGACCGCTTGTCGACCGTCTCCCGCCAGCCAAGCTGGCCTCTAATTGGTCACTGTTTTTCGTTAATAACTTGTTAACGATGCGTCGAAGAAAATT